TGGCAAATGTCTGTTACAGCTCTAGTATTTAAGATTTCTCTTCTAACAATGTTTGAATCTGGGTTGAAGCTGCTGGCAGTACTTGTTTCGGTTCCAGGATCACCTCCAAGAATTTTAGAAGGGGTCTTTTTCTCTTTTTCAATTGAGATATCGATATAACCTTCACATACAGTACAGGACCGCCAACCATCATTATTTTCTTGGATGCAAACCATTCACTGAACCGTTTATAAAACTTTTCGTATATGGTTTTTGATTTATCAGGCAACAATGAACACACTACATTTGCAGCAGCTTCTTTTATTTCGAACGGGAGGCTCATTTTTCGATTGAACAAATTTTTTTTCTAAAAACTGACCAGTTGTTTAAAACAAATTTGAGCGGTTGTCTTAACACTGCAACAATTTTCTTGCTTCTTGATTTTTAATTAATTAAAAAATTTAGTTGGCTTTTTTCTTTTAACTAATGTTAACTGAACGTCAGTTACGACATAATAATAATAATACTTTTAATAATTTTCAAATGTCGGTCTCCCTGAAAATAAAACTATTTCTGTAAATTGTCCAAAATTATCCAAAATTGGAAAGCGAGAAGCGAGTAAGGCAAGGTTGCACCAGCCGCACTCCAGACGGGTAGTGAGGATGAATAAATTTCGACCGCCAATGGAATGATAAATTGGATTCATTCAGCAAAATTTTGAGATGGTGTCATCAATTTTTTAGGGGAGATGAGCAAATATATATATATTTTTAATTTACCATGTCCTGATTAAATCAATAAAATAAATTGAGTCATTCATTAATTTTTTTTGAGTCACCCTGTATATGTAAATTCAAAAATTATGAATGGAATGATAAATCACAAGTACAGACTCATCATATTTTGAACATTTTAGATAGGATTTATTCGGCAAAATTTTGAGCGAACGTCATCAATTTTTTGGAAGGGATAAGTAAATATACATATTTTGATTATAATTATGCTTATCATAAAAATATTATTTAAAACGTCTGCAAGATTTCAAAGCAATTGCAAAATATCGTTTTATAATTCATACTCTCGTGGACTCGAAAAAAACGGGAGAAGTTTAATTATTTCCTTGTGTAGCGGAGCTTTCAAAGCGCTCCGCTAGTACCCTCTCGACGGCGCTGTCCTCGGCAGCGACGGTATCAACCCCACCAAGCTCACCCCCACTGGAACGCACCCCACCTGAAGCTACTTCATTATGCAGGTACTCCCACGCACTCAACCCTGCCTATAAAAGGGCCACCGTGACCACTTTTCAGGCAGATGGAACGCCACCATCTCCACCTTAAGGGCTGCACTGTCTCGGTCCCCTTCTGGTGAGCACCGCACAGATGGAGCGCCACCATCTCCACCTTAAGGGCTGCACTGTCTCGGTCCCCTTCTGGTGAGCACCGCACGGATGGAACGCCACCATCTCCACCTTAAGGGCTGCACTGTCTAAGTCCCCTTCTGGTCTTCACCAGGGCTGCACTGTGTTACGGTCCCCTGCGCTGCTTCGAGATCATCACCAGGGCTGCACTGTGTTACGGTCCCCTGCGCCGCTTCGAGATTATCACCAGGGCTGCACTGTTTTACGGTCCCCTGCGCTGCTTCGAGATCTTCACCAGGGCTGCACTGTTTCACGGTCCCCTGCGCCGCTTCGATATTATCACCAGAGCTGCACTGTTTTACGGTCGCCCTGCGCTGCTTCGCGATCATCACCAGGGCTGCACTGTTTTACGGTCCCCTGCGCTGCTTCGCGATCATCACCAGGGCTGCACTGTTTTACGGTCCCCTGTGTCGCATCGCCGACGTCGTCATCTCCAGGGTTGCACTCTCTAGGTCCCCTGTGCCGTATCGCCGACGTCGTCATCTCCAGGGTGTAACGAAGCGAATTTTCGCGGGCCGGAAACCGTGCCGCGTACCGCGAGAGCCGGGGGTAAATTGGCGATCGCCGCGCCGCCGCGGCGGAAGAAAGAGGATTCTGACCTGAAACTCTAAAGAGTGCGGAAGTGCTGTGGCGAAATTAGCTGTTTTTAGTTTTTGAGAAGCGAGAAGTGAGCAGTTCGACTCTCCGACCACCGTAAGTACCTTTTTGGGTCGCCTGCCTGTTTTGTACCGGTTTTGGAATCGCCGGCCCCCGAGCGAGAAACCGTGTCACCGTCACCGCGTTTTTTTTGTCACCGTCGAAAGTCGACACCGTCGTGCACGCGTCGTTACCGTCACCGCGCTCCCCTCCCGGGTCGCCGTACCGTCTTCGCGCGATTTCCAGGTTCAAGGTCGCCGCCCCCAGAGCCAAGAGAAGCCCGGCCTGAAGGAAGTCGCCGCCCAGGAGGAACGACCGTGCCGGACGTTTAATTCTTTTTTTTGTTGTAAAACCGTTTGTTAGATATTTAAGTTGATTAGCCGTAAGTTTTATTATCTTAGACCGTGTAGCTGGTGGCAGGGAATAAACCCTATTTTTGTTATAACACATCCTCGCCGTTTTATTTATTATTTTCGATTTTTCGCGGCGGCTCATCACCTGAATTCCGTGTCTCCGGCTTTAGAGCACCCCGGCGCTCCCTCCCCCGGAGAGGGAGCTGGCGCCCGAGCTACCGTCGCTCCTGACCGAAGGCGCCACCCCCGGCGGCGTGAAGGTAGCCGCATAAGCTTGGTCGACCAGACGTGTTACTGACATCAGCGATACTAGTCGACCCAAAGCTTGGCACCCAAGTACGCCGCCACCCCATACGTTATCGGCGAGATTCCGGACCGTCACCGGACCGTCCGTCCGTCCCATCATCCGGAATTTCGTCGCAAGGGTCGTACTGTCCAGGTCCCCTGTGCCGCATCGCCGACGTCGTCATCTCCAGGGTCGCATTCTCTAGGTCTCCTGTGACGCATCGCCGCGTTTTAATTTACTAACCGTAATGTAGGATATGTTATCGTTTCTTCAATTTGCTCTAATACATTTGCGACACATCTTTTCGATAACGGGAATCTTGCAAAAAAATCTACTTCATCCCATTCCTCATAATGATTTCTCCGGTATCTTATTGTTTTAGGTCTCCGCACTTCTTCATCACTGCTGAATGCGTTGACGTCATACAAATCCATTGTATCTTTGTTTTAATTAATTCACTACTCAACAAATAATATAGCTTCTTCCTCACACCGATACCTGGTGGTGTGGTAACTGCTGACCGACGGTTAACCGAAGGAATTTCCGGAGGTAAAATCAACCACCAGATTACCGGCAGTTTTCGTCTTAACCATCAGTTGAAATACGCGTTTTGATAATTAACTACAGGTTACTGCCCAACCTTTAGTTAACCATCAATTGAAAAACCGGGCCTAATTTTTATCTCACTTTGTTCTTATTAAAATCCTACGTCAAAATATTAAATTCTAGCAAATTTAAATTATTGATTTCGCATTTACAGCAAAAACTTCGATGTGAGTATCCATTGTCGTTCGTTTGTGGACATGAATACTCGAAATAATATTTTAGTGTTAATATTGTGAGAAACGTGAGTGGGGACAGATTCTGGGTTTCCATCAATGTGTACCTAGTTCCTTTCATTTTCATGGGTTCTACTAGGGGTTTTGTGGTGGGAAAATGGCAGCTTTAGCAGATTCATTGGTGCTCACAGCTAAGGCCTTCAAACTAGCAAGCTTCTGTTGTTTGATGTGGCAATGTAGTACTTTTTGGTGTGGACTAAAGTCTGCAGTAAATGGACAGCTGATGCTCTACACTTTGAATAATACTTTATTATTGCACAACTATTATTGAATTAATAATTGGAGGAAAATCAACAATTTATAGAAAATACATGAATGAAATGCAAATGAACAAAATGTGGCTTTTTATCACAGCAATTTTGCATTTTCCTATTTAGTTCGAAATTTAAATATTCATTAGTATTAATTGCTTCACAGTGTTTTCGTCCAGCCACGGATCCAGCGTTTGATTCTGGCATCTCTCTCGAATGGGTAGTGAAACTTTTTAAAATAGACTGGGCAGTGTTTATGCAAACCCACAAAAAAACTATTCTCTGTTCGGGAAATAAAAATTACGCTTCGCAACTGTAAAAATGGTTCCCACTTTAGCTGCCAACTTTGTTTGTGTTATTTTGGCTCAATAAGTTTTCTTGAGCTCTTTATAACATTTGATTATTATTGGAACGTTTTGCCGCGACTTCAATAAAGTTCTTGTAATCTGCCACTTTTTTGATAAAATCCTTGTCAGTTCCATTCCTCTAGTGAATATGTAATTATATCTGTGCCCTGTTGGTAACTGAATGACAAATTCTTAACACAATAAATATTTTTGAATATTACAAACTTAAAATGATAGAAAGGCAAATAAATAAATCCCTGTACAGCAATCTTATCAAATTTTTCAATTTTAAACTAAACTTTAGTGGGTATACCCATATATTAAAAACTATATATTATATGCTTTGATTCGGAACGTTTGATTTGCCAAGCGAGTTTTTGTTTTGTAGGTAAGAACTTAAGGGGTCTTAAAAGTGCACTTAATCACGGTTTTTTTGTTCCTTTTTCTTATGAGAGTGGAGGAATAAACGATTTTTTCACTCCATATTTTATATTTTATTTAACCTTGAGGTTCATCACTGCATTTGAACGCATTGCGTCACAAAAAAAGACACACAATATATGGTTCCACTTTATTGAAGGTCACAGTTCAAGACCAAGTTTTTGAATTTATCCCTGCTTTTAAAATTTTATTCACATGTGAAATTAACGCGAGATGTTTGGTTTATCACATGTCTTATTGAATAAATTTGTATGTGGAAATAATATTAATAAAAAAAAATTAGTAGCAATAATATCTTTTTGAACAAAAACGCTTTTTTTTGTGCAGTTGATTAATTAGTAAAATACTTTTTCAACTAATTATCAGTTTAATATTATTTTCAAAATAGAGATCGATTTCAGTGAACAAACCAGAAAATAAAAACTTAAAATTAACACTACCTAATACTTACGTGAATTTGATAAATCATCAATTCGTTGGATAAGTGGTTTCGAACTTTAAAATTTTCTCCCTGTACAAATTTAATAGTGTGTGTGATTAATTCCCCATAGAAGAAACTTAAAATGTTCACGATTTCTTCATCATAGGAATTGAAATTGCCGTTTCTTTTATTGCAAAGTTGCACAGCACCCATTATTCCATTTTCATCCTTAATTGGAAAACATAAAATATTTCTAGTTTCAAATCCTGTATATTCAATCAAATTTTTATCAATTAAATCAATTTCACAGCCCTGCTGCAGATTCATGAGTTTTCCTGTCGTTGCCACGTGATCTGAAAATTATTATTGTAGTACATAGCCACAGTAAATCAGTAACGAAACTTCAGCAATATTTACGGAACGGGTGTGACCTTGGGAGCCCGTTCCCGGGAAACACGAAGATTCAAATATTTCGTAGCATTCGGATAATAATAATAATTATACACAAAAATAAAAATGGTTGGTATGTACGACTAGTGATATTGGCCATTTTTTTCTTTCTTGTAAATTAAGCAAAACATTTTTATTCAATTTTGACGTTTTAAACTGCGTTTATTAAATCCTTAACAAGTCTAACAAATATATTGTTATCCACAATATTTTTGAATTGCAAAATTTTTAATTCACTCTTAATATTTTTAAATCACTCACAAAAAAATAAAAAACAACTTCAGGAACATAAACATTTTGCTTATAATTTTTAATAGTTTTCACAGAATACAATTTGTTTACAATTTTCACTAAAAGGTTGCTGCAACTAAATCAGTATTGTTTGGCACATTTCTTTGGCTCTGTGAGGCGTCAATTTGGGAATTGTATAAATCCCACACCAATGCAATTCCAAAGAGTGTTTCGGAAACTATTTACTACAGATTATTTCGATACGAGTGGAAGAAGCAACTGTGAAACACCATTTTATTTGAAATGAAAAATTTGCCAAGGTGTTCTTTTAAACAAACTTCCACAACACATCTTCCCTGTATTCTGGCCTCTTCAACAATCATTAAGTGATGTGAGTTACCGGAAACTCACCTTGAAAGAACACAACTGTTTACGGTATGTTTGTGGATACTCATTAATACGAAAATTCTTACACCACCACTTCTGCGAAGTTTGTGTGAACTTTGCACATTCTTGCGAAGTGGTACATCCTGTTTTAATTGTGTGACATTTTAAAGTCTTCAATGAAGATGCGATTTTTAGCGATTTAATGATGCCACCTGAACATTTTGCGGTTTCTACTTCGGTAATGGGTTATACATTTTGTGAGTTTTTCCCAATTTATGCACCGTAGTCGTTAACTGGTGTGCGGCTAAAAAACGAACCATAAAAAAATATCATTCCACCACCCCTGCAAAGACTTTCCTCTTGAGTACCTCGTTTCACTTTTTATTTTAGAGTAATTAGAATTTAAATAAATCTTGGACCGCTCAAATACGCACGAAAATTAAACTATTTCGTTTAACCTGCAGTTTGTTAACCTCCTTAGCCTGTAATTTTCTAGTATTTTTTACATGTATCGTAAGTATCTATTTCTTTGTTAAAATAAATTTTACGTTTGTTTTTAACCCCGTAACCCCACATCCCGTATGATCGCGTAATTAATATGGCATTTCTTGTTGACAAAACCAGACAAAACGATCACCGAAAACCTTAAAATGAAAAAGAAACTATGTTCTTCACGGTCGGAGCACCTTCAGAGACGCTAGTGACCTCTTTATGTCGTTCCGTAAGCTCCCCAGGTATTTCTTATGGGATCAGCTCTAGTATTTCTTTTGTTCATCACTTGTAAACATCAATTTATCAAATCATTGTATTCAACTTGAAAATGTCTCTAGCCAGTACAGTTTTCACACCTCTACTTATGCTCATATGTTTTAACCTATTGTAATTTGAAATGACAACCCGAGTTGGTGATTTCTCAGGCAAATATTCGAATTGACCACGCAAGTAAGGTTAGAAATTACATTGCGCGCCAATTTATAATTCAAAAATTCTACTATAGGTTTCTTATGGGAGCTTGATTTTACAAACAAAATACGCCTAATTGGTAGAAATCTTAACTAAGTAGTTCTTGCTGCAAGCGATAAGGGCTGTACAATTATCTTCATGTTACTACATGTTTAACTCTATAAAAAGCTTGTGTTAAAGAAATATTACAAATTAAAATCAACGATATCCATCAAAGTAACGTACAATCAGTGGACATATAAAACTTGTATAGTGGTTCCGGTGAGAGATTGGGATCACAGAACACTGGGATTTCTTGACATGTTGACATGTAAGTTGGCAGCAACCTAACACTAAAAATACACTGAAATTCCTACGCTGTCACTCACAGCTGGCTGTCAGTACTGTCTCTGTTACAAATATAAAACTACTGAAAGTTCCATTACTAAGGTTAGGCTACTTTTCTGACTCCCATCTCCAGTGTTTCTTTAATGGTACGTTTCCACTTGAGAGGGCGCTTGCGAGAAATAATTCCAAGATCAGCACTTATAGCCATGGTCGGGCCTGCCCTCAACTGGGTAAGTATATCGTTTGCCCAGCGTTTTTACTTGATTTCTCCGAATTTGTGAGCGACTCTCACAATACGAACGCCTTTCGTAGTGCGACAATGATCTCCGATAAGTCTGTTTTACGTATATTTTTTTGGTAATAACTCAATTAATTGCAATAATAGACCTCTGAAATTTGAAATGACAACTTAAAGACTAAAGGGGATAAGATCAAAACCAGAACTCTCGTGAGAGTTGCTCTCCAGTGGACACGTACCCTAAAGATGAATGTTTTAGGAAATATTTGAAACAATTTTCAGGAGAAGACAGAGGTATAATGATAATAGTCATCGTTTTTTGTTATTAAAAGACACCACAAAAATTCTCTTCGCTTAGATTTAGTGACTTTTCTGTCACTCAGTCTCTCACCGTACGCAGTATACAAAGAAAATTTTACTAATGTGTATCAAGCTTGCACAAATGTCAAATAAAATTTAAATTGTCAAGTTAACAGTTCGGGCGAAATTAAAAAAATGCCTTTAACAGAGTTTCAAAAACATATTATTGAACAAAGACATGATGAGGAAGTGGCACTAAGATATATTGCTGATGAATTACATATCAGCAAAAGCACAATTTTGTTAGTGAAAAAAAAAACAGGGGCGGTTGGTGCCGGGGGGCACAATGGCACGTGCCCCCCCCAAAATTACAACGTCTACAAACACACTGGACATAGCAAAATAGTAAATTTCAATATTTAAAAAATTATTCGGAAATTTGTGTCATAATTATCAAAACTAATTTTTTTATCTCGCTCCACTTGTATAAAATGTATCAAAACTTACTTCTACTTCCACCTAAAGATGTGTCTTGGATATATGATATGTTATTTCTGATAAAAGCCCGGCGCAGAGACCGAATGGATCGAATCAAGGCTGATTTAGATGTTTTGTTTACACCGTTGCTATGGAAAGAACACGTCGTAGCCGCCTGATATGCGCCTGATACAACTGGATTGTGAGCCCTTTGCGACCGTGCTCTGGAGGATTGAGTTACTATCGCGGGTTTTAATTTTCATTCTACGCGAGCACGTATGATAAATATTCTTGGATAATTTTCTCGGTAATACAGACATTCGGAAACAACTACACACCGCTTATGTTAATAATATTCGGGCACATAACGCAAGGGTCGACAAAAATCGCCATATATAACGCCGATTGATAATGTGCATAAAATTTTGTGGAGTGTTTGAATTTGCTTTACGTGGACAAAACGGAAGTAGGGAATCACAAAATTCAGGTATATTTCGAGGTCTGATTGATTTTATGGCTGAATTGGACTTTATTAGCTCATTTGATAGAAGCAACGGTTCTTAAAGGAACGCCTAAAACTGTCCAAAATGAACTTTTAGATGCCATGAACACCGAAGGCAAAAAGGTATGTGGAGAAATCCTTTTTTATTTTTATTGAATGTATTTTTGTATTTATTTCCGTCACACAATTTCGTCTATTAATTGGTAATAACAACTTGTTTTATATCTTCATATTTAACTCATCAATCAAATTGTGTCCCCCCATTTCAAAAGGTCACCAGCCGCCACTGAAAAAAAATGAAAATTTCGGGCAGATTACACGCACATCAGGTACGGGTCGTCTAAAAATTACTATAGAAGACGAAGATATTTCACTGGCTGATTTTCTCCCTGAGAATCCTTTTGAATCAGTGATTAGAGCAAGACAGGAAACACATTTCCCCGCATCTTTAAACCCGTGCGAAGACAAATAAGGTTGACTGAGTTACGGAATAGAGCTGCTGCAAGAAAGATTCATCTTATAGATGCAAACAAAATCTGTAATTTGTAAATCAACCACTCAATATGTAGGAAACTGTAGTCCTTTCTAATGAAAAGGCATTTCATTCCCACAGTAATGGGCAAATCCGTGTTTACCGGCCAGCTGAGACACGGTATGAAGAACGATATGTTCATAGATCTAACCAGAATAGTCGGTTTTCAATGAATCTTTGCGGGTGGATACATAGCGGAGTATGTTTAGTTGTTCAGAATCGCTTAAATGCGATAGTATACCGCAGAATTTTAGAAGAAGTTATGCTTCCATCAGTTTTACCCATGTTTCAAAACCGAACTTTATTTTTCAAGATGTAATCATTATTATTTATTGCTAACTTTGCTTTTTTAAGTAGAAAAATTGTAGGATAATTGCCCAATTCATAGAGCACGGATAGTTAGAAATTATTTAGAAGAACAGGGAATCAATAGATTACCGTGGCATTCCAAGAGCCCAGATTTGAATCCCATAGAGGATGTCCTGGCACGTATGGCCAAATTTATTTATACACATGATTTCCGCCCATAAAATATTGGCGGGTTGCAAGAAAGGTTGTGACCGCTTGGCAAAATATAACATCAGAATTTACCGGACAATTAGTTCAATCGATGCCTCGCAGACTGCAAAATGAGATACACGCAAACGGTGGAGTAACAAAATATTAATTGTATATTTATTAAAATATTGTTAATTAGTTCATTGTTTCTAAAAATAAAAAATTACGTGCTGTTGAGATGATTCAGGTCTGATTCATTAATGGTCGTTAATAAGAGCCCAAAGACTTTTTTTGCATATTCAACCAAAGATATTCTCGGCTTTCTCGTTTAATCATGCGACAAACCACTAGAAAATGATCAAATCCACGTCAAAAAGACAGATCTGCACAAAATACATTTTTCGTTTTTCTTATAAGGGAGTAATTTTTATGACTATTCCATTCATCT